CTGGTGCTTTCACTTCCAGAGACAGTTGTAAGCACTGTGTAACTGCCTCGAGGGTGCTTGACCATTTTAACACAACGTGGTGCGATCATCCCCCTTGCGCGGAGCGAGGGTTCTCGACCCCGCACAACATGATCTACTCGGCCACCACTATGGTTACCGCCAAAAAAAAAAACCGGAGGTAAAAAAAAAAAAAAACGGTAACCTGGTTGCCGAGTTCACGAAGTGAATTGGCTTGTTTTACAACGTCGTTGCCAAGCGACGAAAACCCAATCCCGATGGCAAACACCAGAGGGGGCGGCTTGTTTTACAACGTCGTTGCCAAGCGACGAAAACCCAACCCCGACGGCAAACACCGGGGGGGGCGGCTTGTTTTACAACGTCGTTGCCAAGCGACGAAAACCCAACCCCGATGGTAAAACACCGGGGGGGGAAGGGGGGGGGGGGGGGCTTGTTTTTGTGGCGACGGCGGGAACGTGTGCCATGTGATGTTGGTCCTCGGGCAAGCATGCCCTGCTTTATGGAGAAACGTATTGTGCCTGTAGTGCGTGCATGATCACTCGCCTGGATTGGCAGATACCTTCGCCGGGGCAGTAGCCGTGCGAGCAAGGATATTCTTTTCTCTGTGCTACCTTCGGGACCCAGAACTGGTGTTGTTCCCGAGGTGCATGGTAGAAGTTGAGACGGTTTTTTTTTTTACGGGAAGACAATCCTAACACTACTTGTAATGCCGTCCCTCCCCAACCTGCATGCATGTCGGGCTGCTCCGCATCGTGCCGAAAACAACATGTCTGTGTGGGGTTCGCAAGCGATGGGGTTGCTGCGAGAACCCCGGCATGGGTACCCGTAGGGGTTTTGAGAAGATGGGGAGGCTTGTTTCGTGGTGGCGGCGGGATGTTTGCGGAACCACAGTCCGGCGACGAGGTGAGCAGCTTCACCAATGCGCTGGAAATTGTTGTGGTTTTTTCACCACTCGGAAAACTGTTCGCCAATGCTCTCAAATGAGAAACGGTCATCGATCATTACATCACATATGGGGTGTTGTTCTCTTGCGATGATGGATGTCGTAACTCCCGCAAACAAACGGCGTTTTTGATTGCCGGACCTCTGCCTCTGCCTTTGGAGGTCTGGAGCGACGAAGTTTGGGCAACAGAGGGTAGAGTTTTTTCCGGAACAACATGGGTTGCGTTTCACCCTCTGCCCAGCTTGGCGTTGTTGTTGTTGTTGTTACTGATGTGCTGCTGATGCTGTTGCTGCTACTGCTGCTGCTGCTATTTTGCTAAAAAATCATCCCAGTAGTGCAACCCGTGGTCGCCAGCCAGGCACCAAAGAGATACCCAGGAATGAGGGTGAGGGACGTCTGAAATTCCGAAATTTCCAACAGTTACACCCACGCACCCACTAAAAATGCAATCGTACCGCCCGCAAGATGGGGTCAATCTAAAGTCTAAAATGAAAAGCAAAGACCCCGAATTTTCAGAACCAACCGTTGTCAACACACCTGCCGTTCGTGACGTTAAACCGCCGGGCAGGAGGTGCCGCTGGTGCAGGCCATCTGCGATGAGCTGGTTGCCATCACGGACCCGGAGGGGGAGGCGCGGATGGGATCTGATAGTCCCGTCATATCGAAGGCAAGGAGGTGTGGTGTGTGAATGGCATCGGTTCTGTGCCAATCAGCTTTCTTCGTTTTGTTGAACGGTTGGTGGCAAAGCCACATGTCATTTTCACGAGTTTTTTTGTTTTTTTGTCTCTTGTCTTCAAGTCCGCGCTCACAGCACTTGTGCCATTTTACTCGCACCCGTGGTCACACAGAAGAGTTCCTCTCCGTGAGGCCCCCTGCCCATCCCTCCTGCGGTACTTTTCCCTCGATTTTTCAAGCGATTCAATAAGAAAAAAAAATACATAGCAGTAGTGGTCCATGCATATGACCCCATAAATTAAGCCGGTCGCCTGTATACAGCCCGTGGTTTTTTTCGAGACACAAATGGAATATTAATATTCAAGTTGTCTCTTGTCGGCGAATAGTGCCGTGTGCCCCGTGCAAGGTCGGCGAAATACCTTGGCACTCACTCACTATTCGGCCTTTATTCAGTACAGTACTGCTGTTCATATTTGATTGTTGCGTGCCGCACACTTCGAGGGAAGAGAGTGCTACACTCTTGTCGCGTCAAAAGTCGAAGGCAAGGCCCTGCAGGAGAGGTGGAGGGAGACGAACCCTTCTGTGTCACTGACCGCGGATTGGAGCGAGCTCCTTCACGGCAAGAATGCTGTGTGGCGTGAGCGCTGATTTAAACGCAATCACGAAAAAACAAAAGCGTCTGTGAGCGTTGGTTGGTGTGATTGATATATGAGCCACATTTGTTTTGGGCGTTCGACTCCGCAAGATGACCGTCTGTGCACGTCGCGTGCCGAACGCGAGGCGACGGTCATCTTGCGACCGTCTGTGAGTTAACTTACTTTCAAACGTCGCATTCAAGAAGGGGAAAGGTTTAGCTTCTCGCAACGATTTTTGTTTGTAGTTTTTCGACAATACCCATTTTGTGTGAGGCCCGTGCTCGCCGCTCATGCCTCCCCTACCCGCATGTACCCGTTGTCATTATTCGGGACGCAGGTACTAAGACTAATGGACAAGTTGCAACCACGAGACCTAGGACTGTCAGAGCGGGATTTCCAGGTACAGTAGTGGCTACGGTTCAACATGAGATGTTTACTAGAAAGTCTGGGTTTAACAGAGGTGAACTGGCTTGGCACGGCCAAAATCGGTTAACAGAAAGTTTGTCTCATTTCTGAGATTTTCTGTTAAATCGAGCTACTGGAGGCCACGCCACGTATAGGAGTGGTTTGTCCAGTGGGTAATTGGGTGGGTTTTCTGTTGGATGCTGGAGCATCCATGGGCTTGTGTTGTAATTCCACAAGAGCTGCGAGTAGCAGCACATCTACGACAAGGCAACAAAACTACAGAGGTCTGACGCGTGATTTGTTTCCCAACAAGTTCTACCAAGAGCGTACAACTGGTCCACGTTGCTCGCCAACCCACAGATAAAGCGGTGTGTGGAGCTAGCCCAAGGGGCGGACGTTACCTGCGTTATGTGACATGAATGATACGTTCTCCACCAACTCTTACGGCACATACTGCTATTGTTGGGACGACTGGGTCCATGTTTCACGGCCTTTCGTTTTGGCTACGGTATAACATAATATTATGCTACACCGTAGCCGAAACGGTTTAACAGAAGTGCCGATTTAACAGAGGGATTTTGGCTTGTCACGACCCTATGTTCAACCGTAGCCGCTACTGTAAGAAGCATCGCAGGGTCGGAAGACGGAAAGGTAAATCCGTGTACGAAGCGCGTTGAAGGATTTTTTTTACTCGTTGTCCACCTCTTGCGGCATCGATGGATTTTTGCTTCGTTGGATTGAATAAAACGGCGAGGGAGGTATACAGTAGGCGTCGGCACAGCACCATGAGCATTGAAGACGGCAGCAGCAACAAACGCGTCCATCATACCCTTGCCATCATCGTCAACGACAACAATGGCAACAACATGTCAACCCAAACAAAAAAGCAACATCAACAACAGCAGCAGCAGCAGCAGCAGCAATAACAACAATGCGACAAGATAAATAACAGCAACGGCAGCAGCAGTAGCAGCTGCAGCCGAGCCGCAACGACGACAACCGGTTCTTCCCTTCGTCCCTCACTCAGAAACAACGCCCCATCTCTCCGGCGTGCTGACCCCTCTCCTACCCCAGGGGCTGACGCACTCGCTGTGCATGCCGGTTTTCGGCGGGCCGGAGGCGTGCTTCGAGATGACCGTCTTCGTGCTGCCTAAGGGCGGCGAGATTCCTCTGCACGATCACCCCAGCAGTGAGCTTGATTGTGGTCTGTTTCGTGTGTGTTGTGTGTGTGTGTGTGCGTGGGATCACCCCCGTGTGTAGAGAATAGAACCGCACTTCATGGTACATGAAAAACTCGTTGAGAGAGGTATTGTTTGTTGTGTCTGTGGTAACGAGTTGGTTCGAAATCGATCACAAAGCGCCAAAAAAACGCGTGGCGAATAATGGGAGTACAGCGAGTGCTCCCAGAACAGGGCCGCATAAGCCAGAGAGACGATCGCCGTGTACGTAAAAATACCGGTGAAACCGAATGACGAAGGTCCTACTGCCCGTGTTGATTATGCCCCGAGGGTTTCCACCCTGGGACATGCACAGCAGTTTGTCCAAGAGTCTGCCTCTTCGCCCACCTCTTTCACTCTCGCACGCTGTTTTTTTTTGCTGACATCATTTTCTGTTTGAATTCCTTGTTGCTTTGTCGGAAGTGTATTTTCGCGTTGTGGGGTAGTTGGTTGCCCTGCGACCACGGAAGGCGGCCGCGTCAGTTGAACCTATATTAGAATGTTAGGAGGTGCAGCGGGAGAGACCCATGAATTTTGAATGTGTCACCAACAACAACAACAACAACATCTTCCCGTTTCTCCCGCTCTACAACCACCACGAAATCTACGAGCAGTGGCAGTCCTGTCGAGGATCTTATTCGGCACCCTAGACGTCACCTCGTACGACATGGAAGAGGAAGAAGATGAGGCGGAGGAAGAACGGGACAGCAGACGAGAGGGAGGCACCGTCGCAGATGCCGAGCTAGGACGGAAAGAAGCACAGCGGGCTGTCTTCGCACGACGGCGGCAACAGCAGGAGGGCGGCAGAGTGACAGCGGCGACCCCTTCCTTCTTGCTGACTCCGTCAGAGGGCAACGTGCACTCCTTCAGGGCTCCTACGGCGTGTGCGGTGTTTGATGTCTTGGTAAGGGGGAAAGACGGGGGTGGGAGGGAGGTACTCATAGTAGTGCATGCCGTAGTCGTTAGACCATTGGCCTCGCATCCCTACAAAGGCGGGACGGAGCGCGCCGGGTTCTCACCGGACCAGGCTCTCACATCACCTAGCGCGAAGCGCCGTGAGATATTTGGCGAGTCGCATGACGGGTGCGCTGCGTCCTGCTGAGGGTTTCCGGCATCATGTGCTTACTTCCTTGCATACGGATGACAGCTGCGTATGACTTAGTTTATTTTCTGGTGCTTTCACTTCCGGAGACAGTTGTAAGCACTGTATAACTGCCTCGAGGATGCTTGACCATATTAACACAACGTGGTGCGATCATCCCCCTTGCGCGGAGTGAGGGTTCTCCACCCCGCACAACATGATCTACTCGACCACCAGTATGGTTACCGCCAAAAGAAGAGGTAAAAAAAAAAACCCGGCAACCTGGTTGCCGAGTTCACGAAGTGAATTGGCTTGTTTTACAACGTCGAGCGACGAAAACCCAATCCCGATGGCAAACACCGATGGGGGGGCGGCTTGTTTTGCAATGTCGTTGCCAAGCGACGAAAGCCCAACCCCGATGGCAAACACCGGGGGCGGGGGTGGGAGGGGGGGGCGTAAACTCATGTAAAAGCATGCCGTAGTCGTTGGACTAATTACCCCGCATCCCTACAATGCCGGGACGGAGCGATGTGCCGGATTTTCGCCGGCCCAGGCTACGAACCCGAGGTAGGGGGAGGGGGGGGGTCGGTGGTTTAGTGCCCTTGTCACAACCTTGATGCCCTGCCTCTTCTTTCGCTGACCTCTCGAAGGATCGGATCACGACATCAAGTGATCATCCGTCACCATCCCCCCCCGCGCCCCTTTCTGCGAAGTCTACGTCCGCAATTCTGGGATATGCTCACTCTGTGCTACTGCCCTCTGCGTGCCCCCCCTTCCCCTTGGAAAACACAACGAAAAAAATCAGATACCTCCCTACGACAGCTCCCGAGGAAGAAAATGCTCCTACTTTCGAGCTGAAACCCCGCTGACATCCCGGAACGGAGACACGGCAGCAGCAGCAGCAGCACGGACCGCTGGCGCCGACGATGGTGTTGAGGGGGAAAGAGAAAGCGGTTCTAGCGCCAATGATCAGACGGCGGCGGAGCGAAGACAGGAGCGGGTGGTTTTGCGAGAAGTCCCGGAGCCGGAAGGCCTGCCACGGTGGAACCGCTACTACGGGCCGAGCGTGACCGTCCGCTAATACAAAAGAATACCACGGTGTACCGTGAGAGGCGGGGAGATACAGTAGCACCCCCCCCTATGTAGATATCTCAATGCTACCTAGGGCAGTTCTGTCGTCTGGAACAAACCGATTTTCAAGCTCGATTGCTCCACAACCAAGTTTGTCTGTACCGTACCGTATACCGTACCGTGGTGTTCCGTAAGAGGCAGAGAGATGGTACCCCCTCTAGAGCGATTTTCAAAGCTGGATTGCTCCACAACCAAGTTTGTCTGTACCGTACCGTATACCGTACCGTGGTGTTCCGTAAGAGGCAGAGAGATGGTACCCCCTCTAGAGCGATTTTCAAAGCTGGATTGCTCCACAACCAAGCTTGTGCCTACACCAAGAATGGTGGTTTTGGAAACATGTCGTCCAGGGCTTTCCGTAGACGTGTCGGACTCTTTCCACACACCCCTTGGTTGTAGAGTAATCGAGCGTTGAAAGTCGATCTGGGGGGGCGCCATCTCTCCGACTCTTTCGGAATACCACGGTACGGTATACGGTACCGTACAGACAATCTTGATTGTGGAGCAATCGAGCTTTGGAAGTCGATCTAGGGGGGGGGTGCCATCTCTCCACCTCTTACGGTTGCTGCGAAACCGACCAGCCCACCCGCACGCCCACCAGCAGATAGTGGATCCCTTGCAGCCCATAACAGCAGACGGGTCAACCTCCGGGGCGATTATTCGTGCGTCTGCGTACACGGCGCAGGTATCGGTTGGCTCTAGGATCCGCCTCGTCGTCTGACGCCTGAGCCAATGTCTCGCGGGCCTATACTGTATGTTGATATCACAATTGTCGCGCATTGCATACGTACAACAGCTGTCGTTTTCTTCCTCAATCGTGAGGCACACACGCTTTCTTTTCCCAATGTCGGGGAGGGGTCTCGTGTCCAAGCCGTAGTCTGTCTCGGTGGCAGATAGGTAGATGTTCGGGAGAGGTGCCGCCAGCATGACTTTTGTATCTACATACGCAGATAATATCCGTGGTTGGGGTGCCGAGGACTGTCGATGAGTTTTTCGTCCCGGTGGGGACATGAGTATCTACATAGGTATGTCCGTGATTTGTTTTTTTTAATTCTATGGTAGGATCATCATTATTCCGGTGATGGGATCATGAGCACATTGGTGAGTGATGTCCACGGGCTGCTGCTACTGCCGTTCCAAGGGTCGGTTCATTCCAAGGGTAGGGTCTCGACTACAGGAATGATACCCGTCGTTTGGTGCAGGACTGTTGTGTTGTAGTGTGGTTCAATCCGGTGGGGTCATGACTACCGTGCGTTAGTCATGTCCACGGTACAGTAGGGCTCAGGACTGCTGTTGCAGCGTGGGTCATCTGCATTGCTGTAATGGATCTGGGGGGTACGCAGAGGATATTTCAACGCCGAGAAAGCTAGCTTCTGCCTCCCCAAGCTGCGGCGCGTGCGCTGGGTAGCGCTTGCACGAGGACCAGCGGGTGTTTTCCTCAAGTTACAAGCAAGGACGCACTTGTGTTACACCTCTTGAACGCGCCTCTCCTGTATGAGTTTCTGTCTTGGGATTGTTGTGTCCCGGGGGGGCTTGGGAGGCACTATTGTCACAGGCAGGAGCTCGAAGATGACATGGTTAGCTTACGGATCCTTGTCGATCGGTTTATTCTTTGTCATATTTGCGACCTGGTTCGAAAGGGGGCACTACTTCTGTACTGTAGTGCTTGTGCTGTTCGGGCGAAAGAGGCACCGCGTAGAAAACAATTTCAGGTTTCAACAAAGCAGACGGCCATGTGCTTGCTTCTGGGAGCGGGTGTGCAGGGCCGCGGGGTTCGGTCGTAGCCTTGAGAGTTGGTACAGGCGTTGCTGCAAGGGGTTCTGCCGCCCAAGGATGTGGTCCATGTGGTGAATCGATACGACCTACGCCGAGGGTAAGCGTGTATTCACATCACAGATTCCGTTAATCGATTTTTGTTGGTCGGATAATCAGAAACAATCCCCAGCTTGCAAAAACATTGGGGAATGAAAAAAAAATCGGAGATGAAATCCCCACAGTATTTAGTAGTGCATCCCCCACCAAAAAAAAGGGATAGGAAGGCACTTGTACCCGAGCGGAGTATCTTCGTTGGTCGTTGGACAGCAGGAGATATCCCGCTCTGCATCGATCGAGTTCCCTAAGATGGGTATTTGGACTACACCTGTCAGCATCCGAAACGGTTCTTTTGTCGGGTTCGCTGGTCTCCTCACGTTTTTTTTTTTTGTCTGCTGCTATCGTTTCCTGAGCCTCTTTCTGGGTCATTTCTTTATTTATTCCGTTCTTTGGTTTGTAGAAAGGTGGTGCCCTTTTATGGGTGGTAGTTGGCCGGTGACCACGGAAGGCGTCCATGTCAGTTGGACCGGCGCGGATATTTGAAGGTGGACCAGCGGGCGGAGATATTAGAAGATGGTATCGAGAAGAGACGGAAACCTTTTTTTTCGACACTGTTCCCCTCCCGAGCTGGTGGTGTCGTATCCTGATGTAATCGACAATCCTACCCTCACTAAAGCGCAATGCCCCCCCGCCCCTCGCTTGCACATTCTCAACCCCTCCTTTCCAACTGCTGTCGAGAGGATGCTCAGCCGCTCAGCAGAATGTACACCGCTACAAACATCGCTCAACCTCCTTACGGTCGCACAACAGAAACGTACCACAAGATTCGTCCCAATATACCGCTCAACCCCCTCGTAACAGAAACGTACGACAATATTTCGGCCACAAAGTATCACAAAATATCGATCAACCCCCTCGGACAGAAAAATATACCACACCATTCGTCCCAAAATACCGGTCAACCCCCTCGTAACAGAAATTCACCACAAGATCCGTCCCAACATACCGCTCAACCCCCGGCTCATCATCGAGCTGCTTCTTCTCCCCCCTTCCCCTCCACCGCCTGCTCCTCGTTGAAACCCTCGCTGTTGCTCCCGTCTAGGGGGGACGGGGCGGCGGCGGCGGGGGCGGCGGTGAGGTGCTCTTGGATCTCCGCTTGAAGCTTGAGCTGTGCGGAGATGTGCTGCCGCAAGACCTTCTGTAGGTGGAACTGCTCCCGTACGCACTGCGCGCCCAAGTCGCGGATGTCGCCCACCTGAAAGGCGTTTCCGGGGGGGGGGTGAGAGTGAGAGCTAGATGTTAATTAGGCGCTCGGGGGTGAAGATGATTGGTATACAGCAGTAGATTGGTGCACCAGTAGTATAAGGAAAGCGGCGGCGGTGGGAAACTGTTCATTGTTTCTAGAGAAACAACGGGCCATGAATTCTTCATTATGCCGTGACAGCAGTTCCTGGAACGAGCTTTGCTGTCACGATACTAAGAAGATCTTTTCCTAATCGCGAATCATCACTAGCAAGAACGAATATCACCTCCACACGGGAACACAACGCCCAATCAAGGTGTGTGTGTCTGTGTGTGTGTCTGTGTGTGTGTGTGTGAGAGAGAGAGAGAGAGAGAGAGAGAGAGAGAGA